CCATCAAAATAAAGCTCGATATCTCGAACTTTTTTTCTCTCCCACTTGAGTGTCGGTATAACGAGAGATAACTGCCCCTAATTTCTAAGTCGACACTTTGCATGTTTCGTTTAAACTGTAAAAGATAATTTAAAAATATTTATTATTAATTTGTTTTGTCGGGCGTGTCCAAACGGAACGCTTAACTACCACTGTAATAGATATTAATTATGTTTTTACTATTTATCAATGGTATAAACCATCCAACCGTTACCGCGTTCGAACAGATATTAATGGGTGAACCCAAAGGCGCTCCGCTCGGCTCGGACATGGTTGTGATGGCTGGGAACTTTGGGAACATAAACGTGAGGGGAGATCGGATATACAGCACGCAGAGGACCAAGAGACTAAGCCCGAAGCAGAGAAACTGTTACTTTGGCGATGAAAGTCCAACCGGGATCGGCACAAATTATTACCTGAGACGAAATTGCAGAATGGCGTGTTATATGTTCCACATGGTTAATCAATGTGGCTGTTATCTAGAGGCCATGTTCGGCCTCATGAAACGTAAGACTCGTTGTAACCCAACTATTTTACGACAGGTAGCTGGGAAAAAATAACCTACCCACCTATCATCTATCAAACGGTGATCGAAAGATTAAGAACGTAATAACTTTATGTCCAAACGATCGAGACAACATAAAATTCACAAAGACCTCGCCACTTGTCAGCTTGTCCAAAAAACCGAATACCTACAATTGAGAACGATTTTACGTACAAAGTTGTCATAAAATATTTTATAGATTATCAAATGAGAACGGTTGAACCGATGCTTACTCTTTGATACCACCTCTAATGATAATTTATTGTGTTTAACCCAGATATCGTTAACCAACATAGGTATTCTATATATTTCAACAAATAAATCGAATTTTGTACTACATTTCAAATATATATTTAATGATATTGATATTTTCTTTTTTTATATTTTCCCGTAATTCTTTTTTACTACATCCTACCTTAACATATTAACTCTAAAAGTAAAATATATTTCAAAGAGTATTAAAATTGTTTATAGGTAAGCAAAGTGTTTTTAAAGCGGTAATAAGGGCTACTGCCCTACTGTTAATGGCGTAAGTCTATGGTGTCTGTCACAATATTTTTGTCCTAGTTGTGCTAATCACATACTAATATAATATTTTTGTCGGTTGAATAGGTTGCCGAATTAAAGTAAAACACATTAATTAATTTAAACATTTTTTTTTTTGTTTTTGTAAGATAACGACTCGTTGCGGCCGTGTAACGCGGTGGATTTACTGTGTCTGTCCAAGAATAACCGTAAGTTTATGTCACTGGCTCAATGAAATCATATTCAACATTATATTGTTATAATACCTGTATAATGAGCCTGTTTCAGAAAATTTCAACAATTATATACCATTTGTTCAAACGTCGTTTTTCTCGAAAGATAAGCCCGGATTGAAATGCGAATGCATGCCGGACTGCGTCCACCAAATGTACATACCCGAACTGACCATTGCCGAACAGACCGTTTCGTCGTCAGAGTGAGTCGATATTTTATAATCGTTGCAATATAACCATAATAGTTGAATAAAAATTATTGTTGAACTTAATGTCGTCACCGTTTCAGAAATTCCTCGTCGTCTATACTCATTGATTTACACTTCAAACAGAGCGCGTGCATACTATACAGATCGGACTTGATCCTCGGATGGCTTGATTTGTTAGGTACGTACCAATTCATAATTATAATGTTTTTATATCATATTAATTATTAGTGACTGTGCTGCAGTACATTTTACGCCACAGTATGTCCAGAAAAATTTACAATATGATTGCATTTAAAATTTATGTTTAGGTACCTAAAATACGTATTAAATCTTTTGCATTAATTATTATAGGTTTATAATATATTATTTTATTCCAAATACTATGAACTGTGGAAAGATTTTTTCTGTATATTACTTTTGGAGAATTCAACTTATCTTGTAGGTTTCTCGAAAAATTCTTTAAGTTATTTTATCAAGTTTATAAAGTGGAATACTTGTTGAGTAATATATGGAATCATAGCGAAATTGATATGATATACTTTTAGGTCCCAATCGATCTGGTTTTATTTCATATAATTGGTAAGATAATACTTATAAAGGTCAAAGTTATAAATTCACAAAATCAAAATAATTTTATTTGAAAGAACTAGGAAGTACTCGTATATACTGATATTTGTACTGTATTTATTCATAAGTCATAACGGTGAAAAAATCAATATATATATATATTTCTAAGTCACAGCTCTACTTATATGTAATATTTTGTAGAAAATCTATTTAAAAAAATTCCACAACTCTTCGAGGCTACAATTTTATGGTACATGAAAATTGAAAACTGCTTGAATTTATAGAACAATGAGCTACTGCTATTTACAACTTAATATATGTATTACTAAATTATAAAAATTATAATTACTAAACGCCAGTCTTGTAGAATATGGGTTATTTTTAAAAGTATTCAAATACTTACACAGATTACTAATGCATGCGCTTATTTTGAAAAGTATACATGTTACCTATTTTAGATACATTTTTTTTTTAATTTATAAATTAACTGAATACAATTATGTTTAGAATTTTCATATTTTACATTTATATTATTGATAATTTTACATAATATACCAAAATGAATTTTGAATACAAAATATAAAATGATTAGTCTAAAAATAACTTTAAATTTAATATTTTATTTAAAAACCGATACTCTGAGAAAGTATATAAAATATGAATTGGAGATGATAATTAAAATGTATTTTAACAATTGTACACAACTACTTTTTCAAATTACGATGCTGATGATGCGCTGATTATCATTTGGGCTGTCCATTTTTTTAAAACGTGTCTATAATCTGTTCACAGTATCATTTGGTGGTTGTGCTGGTCTGTTCCTTGGCGGTTCGCTTTTGAGTTTTATTGAACTGATATATTTCTTGACATGGAGAGTTTACTACCATTGGCGCAGGATGCCCTCGAAATCGGTTAAATCCAAAAGTAATAAAAAAGGAAAAGGACATCGTATCGTAACGGACACTTGGACAATGGACGATTGCACTATTAGTAAAACGTCTGTGCCATAATATCTCCTGCGTGTAATTTTAGTAGTATACTTTTATAGGTTAATGTCACCTATCTAATAGTGACTAGAAGATACTTATTATTGTTTTTATTAGTTTTATGTTTAAATATGAGTGTATAATACGTGTATAATGATTTAAAAACAAATCGCATATACAATGTTAATAAGTTTTGTACCTATCTATACTGGAAAGTTTTTAAAAAAATACATTATACTATATGCACCATTCGACTACAAAATTTATTATTTCACCTAGCCCCTCGCGGGAAACTTCATTCAATTTTTATGGTGATTCACTAAAAATTGGATCATTTGTCTGAAATAACATTAAACCATAATATAAGAGCTACCTATATGGCTACATTATGTATAGGAGACGGAGAGTTTTTTTCACCGACCTAAGTATTATAATATTATAAATATAGTAATATAATATAATAAACAAATATAGACCTATTTCGTCCTCAGTACCCACACATTACACAGCATTACACAATATAAAGATTTTGACTAAACCTGCTGCAATATATACATAATATATTATTATTATATTATAATAGTGTTGACGTAGACGTAAATGGGATGGGGTTTACGAAGGCTTAGGCCTTACTGATCCATTTCGAGTACGACATAATAGACATTTGATCCATTTAAGACTTTAATATTTTCCCTGATTGTCGTCTGTCAAGACTAATAGTGTATCATGATGCAGAAATATATTTTTTTTAAACGTCAAGTAGGTATTTGTGGGTTTGAATTCAATGATAAATCATTTTATACCATGAAAAACAACGATTCTGAGGAAGGACCTTTTTTGTAACCAACGTATCACATAAAAATATTTTAAATAATACACTTTTTTTTACAATTGCAATAAAACAATCCACACTGAAATAATTTATTATAATTCTATGATGTAGGTGTATATTATTATGTATCATATTATATTATAATATTACGTCCAGAAAACGTATAAAAACCATTTCAACCAAATAAACCGAGGTATTAGTATCTAAAATATTATGCTTATACATACAATGTTCTATTCACATTATTTTTCACATTATTTTTCTTTTTCACGTTATATATAACAATATGATGTTATACAGTATACTTACGATCTCCGGACTGTCGTTTTAAGTAATACATATATATATTAAATAATTATATATGCCGTCGTCCACGGCTCTCACATTATGTTGTGTATACAATGATTATTTTTACTGTGTAACGTTGACACGTAATAGGTAGTACGACAGGTGACATTATAATAATATTATTATATAGAAATGTAAACATGAAGAACTCGATAGAATTACTGCATTGTCAGTTCAGTGAGCTATTCCTGTAGATGAGAAATATTGTGAAAAGTGTTTTGAAAATCGTTTTGAAATTCATTCTTCAAGTATACGATCCATCGATTGGGCGGATTCGGTGTTTTCTTATTTTTATCGGATAGTCAAAAATAAAAGCTAGTCTATAAATTAAACTAAATTGTGTCATACGATCTAACGATACGGTGTGTATGTAACATTTTGCTATTTTTCAAATTTAAGGTTTTTGTATTCATTGTATTTTAGGAGTTCTTTCGTCTATGTTTGATAATATTTTATATTTTGTTTCAGAGCTAAAATTATAATTATTTAATATGAATAAATATGTTATTATTTATTTTATTTAATCATTTTATTTTAAAATAAATATTTAATATAACACTTTGGTTTTAAAATATCATATTGCACCAAGTGAGAACTATTTTTTTTATGCATATTTTGGTAATTATTATTGAATAATATTATGAGAATACATATTATATTTTAATTGGCATTCAGAGCTTATTATCATCTCTGGTCTGATCATCAATTTTAGAGGTGTCTGCATTGAGATGTCATATTCCGGGAAAACATTGTCGTCCGTGTCCAGGAGAGTGGCAGACGTCCGGTTTCGGAACAAGTCGACGAAGATCGAAGGATCTGATGCTAGACGTCGAGCGAACGTGTGGAAGAAAATTTTGGATGATGTTTGTGATCAGTGTTCGCTGCATGGTCTCAACCACATCGTCGGGAAGGACCGGAGCACCGGAGAAAAGTCGGTATCCACGAGAAAAACAAAAAATATTGAAATCAGTATTAATAAAGACATGCTCATGAGTCGTGATATATGAATATTATAGGCATAACTAAAGCGCGGATTTTAATGTCATAAAAAACAATAGTAAGGCCTCTAAGACATACGACCTTATCCCCAATAATATTACAAAACTTTTATAAAATGGTATTGCAGCTCCAAGCGTTATTAATATATTTATATTGTATTACACAACAGTTATTTAATATTTACACTTTCTTTAATTTCATCTCAATTGTATTACCTATTGTGAAAATGAAAAACCACTTGTTCGTAAAATGATTCAGATTTCAGATGAAAGAACTTTCAGGTAATTATTTGTGAATATTTAGTACTTAACAAATACATTCAATTAAATATGTTTTATCAATTTTTTTTTGTTTCAAGACATTGAATCTGAAAGTGTTGCATAATATTATAATGTCACATAAATATCAAAAACCTACTGTTTTTATTTTATTATTTTATTTTTACTGCGCGCGTATGATTTTTACATTGCATTATATGAACGTGGGTGAAATTCCCCCCCCCTCCCTTTAACCTAGGAACTTCAAACCACTTAAGAAAAATCTATGTTTGAGAAATTATTCTAAATTGAGTTAATAATAAAAAAAAAAAAAATGATTCGATATTTAATAAAACAATACAACTGGAATAAAAAAAATACGATGAATTGAAAATTTTATTTCATTAAAAAGTAAAGTTGAGAACAAAAATTTATACTTTAATAATCAAAATTTAATTTGATAAAAAATATTCTTGATTAAATAAAAATCCTAAATGAATAAAAAATGTGATATTGATAAACGAACCTAAATTACTAAAATTGTAACATCATATAATAAAAAAATATAATACTTATAAAAAGCGTAAATTAATAATAAAACTAAAATTAACAAAGAATATTCTTAATTAAATAAAAATCCTAAAATATTAAAAAATATAATAGTAATAAAAAATATAATTAGTAATTTAAATAAATATCTAAATTAAATGAAATTGCCTAAAGTAATAAAAAAAATGCATATTAATAAATTAACATAAATTAATAAAAATATAATAATAAAAATCCATAATTAATAAAAAAAATCTAAAAAGAATCATAAATATTCTTAATTTAAAATCCTAGTTGAATACAAATTCTAAATTCCTGCGTTAAGAGGGGGATGCTAAAGTCAGGTTGACCTCCCCCCCCCAGCAAAAAATTGTTTTCCGGGAAACCAAAAATATGCAAATTCTAAAAACTCCATGGCAATTTCTAGCAAATGAGTAGCAATTTTTCTTAAGTGGTCCGAAATTCCTGGGTTAAAGTGGGGGGAACTTCATGGGCAACTTCACGCACGTATAATATGATTCCATAATAACAATCAAATTTTGGTCATCAGTGCTTAATTATCTATATATACTTACTACACGAGGGGAGGGTTAATTATTTATATAAATATAACACACTAGTTTAAATTTTGAAAATGTTTATAGAATACTTTTACTTTTCAATTTTTCACACTTTCGGCTGATCTCTAAAGTATTATAAAATACATTTTCAAAAAAAAAGTCATCAATGATCATGGATCCAAACTGAATTTTTTCCTTGCATATTGCACACTTTTGACACATATTTTTTAGAGAACCGGCCCGGGTCGTATTTTTTTCAGAGCGTTCTGGTCGGTAACAGTAATATGCGCCGTACTGTTTGCCACTTATGCGATCGTCGAATCTTGGAAGTCGTACAACAAAAGCACTATCGACACAGTAGTTGAGACGACTTTTTTAAGCTACGCCGACATAGCATTTCCGATGGTGGTGGTATGTGACAGTTCAAGGGTTGACTGGCAACGGGTGATGGGGTTAACTGCACGGTAATATACAATATTTCAAATTGGATAAATATAGGTTATGTTATAATGGTATTTACCTATTCTCACATAAAAAACCACATTCGAACCTTTGTTTATTGGTGTAATGACAGCCGTGTACGTGTTATAATTTTAACTTAATGTATACTTATGTGCTACCAAAGGGGTTGACGGACAATGGGTCGAATCGAAAGAGGTCAAAAATCAGAAAACTTTTATTTCATTAAGCCAACAATTTGTTAACTGTCATGAAGTTAAGACTTGACATGAAGTTTATGAAGTCGACATCAATAAAAGTATGGGTCTAACAAATAAATGAAACAAAATTAGAAGCAACCAATTAACTGTCAAATCGGTAACAAATGCGGTGTAGAAAACTTTTTGAAAATCAAATTCAATTCGATTCATCTCCAATTAACCCCTTCCGTAATTAATACTTTATACAATATTATATTTAAAACTAAAAAAACATTAAATACAAATAATAAAACTACTATTGAGCTGAAAATGAACACCTAGGGTCATTGCAATTGGATTATTAACATAATTTAAAGCCACTATAAGTAGCACTGTTATCTGCATAAAGATAATCCGTGGTAGGCGTAAAGCATTTTACTAATTATGACCCCCTAATAATAAGATATCGGTAACTCGCTTAACCATAGAGATGAATGTCCTGTAGGTTTCAAAAAGGTATATTTAATCAAGTATCACACTACAAAATTGAAGTACCTAGATCCCAATGAAAACTGTAAGTTATCAAGATTTTTTCCAAATGTTCAATGTATTACCCTGGGACCTACAGTTATGTGGAATGATAACTAAATTCGTCCCAAACCCTGGCTATCATGTTAAGTCTAACTAAGACACGGCTATTTTGATTTAGTCTCTCAGTTCTTCAAAAGTTGTTGGCAAGGTAGAAAAACAGAGAATCGCAGATAGATCACTCCGATAAAAAAAAACCACTATGTCATAGTATTTTTAAATCCAAACACTTTTTTATGAAACACCCAATATATATATTATATATATAATATATATATATCCAATAACAATAATTATGATGGTAATAATGATGCTCTATTTTCGTTTTAAGCCTATTATTTTATATTCTTATAGATAACTAAATAAAATATATCATATATACAATTACATATAGAGACTTGCCGGATATCGATCCAGGTTTATTGCCCACCGTCAGGAAATTGTTGAAAACGTTCTCCGTGTTATCTTATGGAGAATTTGACAAGCTCGACGAGTTGAAGAACTTAACGGAACTATCCAAGCTCACCCATCTAAACATCACCGAACTTCTAGTGAAGGTTCGTTCTTTAAGACGTTATGGTATTAGTAATTTAATTTATATGATTCCGATAACTTAATTTGTTAAGCTCAGTTTCCTTAGATCCTGGAGGAGAAGGGGGGTATTAATTAGACAAAATAAGTTAAAAGTTTTACATTTTCCAATTATCTGTGTTTTACGAGGAAAACATTGCCTAATAATAATATTTAAGTAGAATAATAATAATGCTATAACAACATAATATTATTACAAGTTTAAAAATGTCTAGGTAAATTTAGAAAAATCTCGATAGCCATCGATCGCTCACGATAAAATATTTAATATTTCTTTGATATTTTAATCAATATTTCTAATATTTATTGATATCAAGTTTTGAGCATGGGCATGTATAATATATGAGTAGTCGATTAACATACTGGGTGTCTATTGTGTCTTCTTATAATTTTTAAAAGCTATTTGTACAAAATGTATTATACTAATACGTGAACAGGTGATGAGGCCATGTGACGAAGTGTTTTCCCACAGTGGCTGCTGGTGGAACTTCAAACAGGTAAACTGCTGTGAAATATTCGAGTTGCAGCGAACCGAATTCGGTTTATGCCATTCGTTCAATTCCGATTTTTCTGAATACAGTAGAGCGTGAGTATTGGTCATCAAGACCATATGATAATATCATAACTGCATTATTGTAATGTAAACAATAATAATTATTATTATTATGTGTCATTATAAAATCCCAAATCGAAATGTTTCGCAGGAGACTTGGCTCGGAATCTGGTCTTATTGGTTCGTTTTGGAGAACAGAGTCCGGAGAGCTCCGACCAAGGAGAACGGGTGACAATGGTCAGTGGTCTGGTGTCAGGTAGAAAATGTAGAAAAAAAAGAATAATAGTCTTAGTTTTGCCAAGTTATCACTTCAAAAACATATTGTTTTTTTTTATTGCAATTTATTCTCCTCTATAGTTATTATTGTCAATTAAAGATTTTTCTGCTAATATGTGTCTACAGCTTAAGTATTTTTACTTAACTTATTTATGTCCAAAGGTCAGTGGATACACATAATATTAATTTTAATAATTTTCTTCAGTCAGTCATATGACGCTGCCTTATTTACTGTAAGTGTTATATTTCAATATATAGCAGTACACATATTTTAAAATATTAAAATATACATTATATAGGTAATGTAAAAATAATATGTTTTTTTTGCACCAAAAATCCATACCCTTTCAGAAATCTTGGCCATCGATTGTCGCTAATGTCGTGTCTTGTATATCTCAACTTATTTTAGCTACTGTTACAGAATGTACGTATCTACGATGGCCCCGATACAAATCGCTCCTGGAGTAAATGCCAAACCATCCACAAGGGTAAATTTTAAAATATTTTTTTTCTTTTTATATTCATAGGTACTATGATATAATATATTATATTACAAATTGTTTAAACCGATAAGCCATCGACCGGACTTATAGTTAAAGTAATTAAATATGTAATTTAAATAGATAATAATAATGAAACAAATATTTTTGACATTTTTCGATTATCTTGATAATTTGGGAAGTAAGTGCCTTCTGAAAGTTTATTCATATGCAACTTAAATTATTTAACCTAACCGTTGTTCTTGTTATAACATTATGGGGCTAATGTGGCTTTATTATAATAATAATATAACAATATTGTATTAAATGACTGCAACAGCTAATAAAATATATTGTATATTAAATTATATGCACTCCATTAATTGGAGTATCACTTATGGAATACATTGGCTACATTATTATACTTGAACCATTAAATTGCCCTGGATTAATGTTATGCTGAATGTCCAGAAAGGACTAACATTTTAAAATTGAATATTTCTCTGTGGGCATAATCTAAATAAATACAACAACAAATAGCTTCCCAACGATGAGGTAGAGTCTTAGTAAATTTATTTTGTATCTCATAAAAATATGGAAATGTTGGCGCTGAATTTCACTGTCTTAATCCAAAGGCTGGCGGTGAAAGTATCGGGTCACATACCAATGCGTCAGCCATATTTTAAAACTAAAATGGCGCCCCTGTGAACCCAGGTTAAGTGGTGATCGAAATTCTCGAAGATTCTGGTAGATCAAAATACACTAAACAGTGTGATTTACCAGGTGAATTCTCACCAGCATACTTATAAACCTTCACATTAATTTATTCAAATTCAAATTTTTGAAATTTTGAAATATGCTTAAATATCCTGCAATTATTATACTTATGTTGTTACACAGAAACATAACATATATTTTTATATTTTTATCTTTAATAGTTTTTATATGGTTTATACATTAAGTCAAATGAATACCTATTTCAAATTAAAGTTTATAAGTTTTTTTTTCTTATTACTTATAAAGAATAAATCGCATGATGTATATTATTTGAAATATGTGTGTCATAAAATGATTAGGATTATGATATGATAATTAAAAATCAATTTTAATATTGTAATAAAAATGCTGTAAGACCATAAACTAAGCTGGTAAGATGGCAAGGATAATATTTTATTTTATTGAGTAGATTGTGATAAAATGGATAAGTCATATGTGTACAAAGTGACAAGTCAGTAAAGTGATAAATAATGTATACGTGGTTAAAAAACGATCCAATAATTAAATAAATATGTTTATAATTTTAATCACATTACTCATGAGCAAATGTTTTTTTATTAACTAATTATATTACTATTTTTAATAGTTGTATATTGTTTGTATAAATGTATATTTCAATATTATATATTTTTTTTTTAAACTTCCAGTATACATATAACTATTATAGTTCAATATTATATTATATTATCTAAGACTGACATTTTTAATTATGCATAATATGCATGTCTAAAATAATGTATTGAACGATTTAATTTTAGTTCCTTAAAAAATTATTCCTATACCTACTTAACACAGCGATGTTTAATACAAAAAAATTAATTTATAGGTATCTGTATGACTAATATTTATTCACCATTAACTTAATTTTTAATAATTATAACATAATATAATGAATATAATGTATATTTAAACCATTCATATTTTACATTCTTTATTTTAGTGAAGTTTATGAACAACTAATTAATTTTATATGGGAGTATCCTAATGTGATCATTTTTTGGGAGGCAACTCATCTATAATTACAAATTACCTGAACATCGGAGGTAAAAAGTGCATATTAACTTTTATATTTATGATAAGGATGTGAGGAAATTTGTATACTTGGAATTTTGGGAGGCAACAGCCAACAATCAACATGGTTTTTCAAAAATATCAAGTACTTGGGTGTACTTATTATAGATAATGCCAGTTATTTACGTTTTTAAATAGCCACATCGTCCATATCATTCAAACCCATTATAATGGACACATAAATATTACCTATCCTTAATACATAAAGTTAAATAACTCAAAAACATTTCCTGTTTGAGTTTTGATTTTGATACACTAAAATGTGTGGTTATAGAAGAAAATAGTTGAGCTTAAAAACAGAAGTTTTTATAGTGGGCACACTCAACGTATTATATTATTTTAGATAATGATCGGCGAACCCAGAGGCGCTCCGCTTGGATCGGATATGGTCGTGACTGCTGGCAGTATTGGCATTGTTCACGTGTGGGGAGATAGGATATACAACACAAACAGGACCAGGAGTCTGAACCCGAAAGAGCGAAGGTGTCTTTTCGCCGATGAAAGTTCCACCGGAATGGGCACGAAATACTACCTGCGGAGGAATTGCAAGACGGCGTGTTACTTGAATCACTTGGTAAAACACTGTGGCTGTTATTTAGAGTTCATGTTCGGCCTCATGCACCGTAAGTACATAGTACTTAAAGTAAAAAAATGTCACGTGAAAATAATAAATGCCAAATCTATATATGGAGTAGGTTTAAATTTAACTCTGAACGAAACGAATATAGTATGATTAGATCTTTTTTCCGTCACAGAAAACGATTCGTTGCGGCCGTGCAACGTCGAAGATTTGTTGTGCCTGTCCGAGAAAAATAGTAAGAGGATTATATTATTACGTCATAATATTATAGTAAACACGAGTTTTATTTTTTATCCTATATTTTTAGAATTCTTCAAAAGTCTTATACCGTCCGAAAATAATGCGTTCATGACAAACGATATGCCAGGGCTGAAATGCAATTGCATGCCGGATTGCGTCCACCAAATGTACATTTCCGAATTGACCATCGCCGAACCATCTATATCGACGGTGCTGTAAGTCAGTTTCGTTTTGGATGTCAACAAACGCGAATCGGTTAAGGGGAATGGCTGTTGCTAAATTTATATGAAAATAACTAATTCAGCATCACGTCACTTTCTAGAATACCTTCACAAGACAAGACCACTAGACCTATTTTAAAAAGAATCACAATCTTTTTAAACATGTCTTAAGCCACAATTTTTTATTTTTTATTCTTAAACATATATTATTCTAAGTCAATGTTTTGGAAACTAATTAATTCATTACACGAATTTTTCAGTTTTTTAAGCGGATTATAAAAATCGAGCTTATACCTCCTTTTAAAATGGTTTTTTGATAATTCCATTAAAAACTTTAAGACATGTGTAACATGAGTAACAGATAAAGTGTAGTAATTATATCAAATCACTTCACTTAAAAGAATTTTTAGTTTATTTTCATTTGTATGTACCATAAATTAAAAAAATTAGCCACTTATTAAATAGGTGCTTCCGTCTCACTTAAAAACACTGTTTATCCCTTAAAACTTCCCACTGAATTCGTTGGCACTTACGAATAATTAATAATTTTGAAATAATAATATGGAACGACGGTAAAGTAAACATATAAATTATATTAGAAATTTAAACGATTTCAATAATACTCTGACATTTTACCTAACAAATAAAATTTATGGTTATTCAAATATTATATAGTTGTATTTATAATTAACAAATTTTTTTAAATAACTTTAAAATATGTATCAATGTACGAGAACAATAATAATATTAATCAACATTTTTAAATAAAATAGAGATAATGTCAACAAACAGAATCTCATACAGCTGTACAAGACATATATTTGTACTTATTAGTATTTATTGTTTTACAATTTACAGGGTGATCCATTTAACTTAAGACACTTATCATTTTAGAAAGCACTTAAAAATATTCATTTAACATAATTTTAAGTCGTTCAACATAACAACATTTTTTTAGTATTATAATTTATAAGTTACTTACTTTATTGAATGATATCATACATTTTTAATTTAATATTGTTAAGCAAAATATAATTCGGAGTATTTTGATTTATAAAAATCTTATAGTTATAACTTTTAATACTTTTGAGTTATAGGTAAATTAAAAAAAAATTAAAAACTATAATGATGAAAAATAAGGGAATAATATTTTTTAGGTATTATATTTTGTTCTTTATATATACTAAAAAAAGTTGATAGTGTTTGCGATAATGAGTTTATTAATTTAAATCATCTGATATAAATAATTCTTTCGGACATACCTATTTCGAATGTATTCAAAACATTTAAGAATTTCGATTTGTGTCTATGATGTATGCCCTATGACGTTATAATAAACAGTACAATTAATAATCTATTTTTAATAATTATTAATATTGCCAATTTACTATATCATAGGAATTCCTCGTCGTCCATACTGATCGACGCACACTTCATACAGAGCACGTGCATACTTTACAGATCGGACTTGGTCCTAGGATGGCTCGACTTGTTGGGTGCATATAAATTTATTACGTCTTCAAATATTAGATTATGCGTCTAATGTGCAACATATTCTAATATTGAAATATTCCGTTTTTTGGTTTCGTTATTATTCGCAGTATCGTTTGGAGGTTGCGCCGGACTGTTTCTGGGCGGATCGTTGTTGAGTTTCATCGAACTCATTTATTTTTTGACATGGAAGGCCTATCACCACTGGCGCCAGACACCGTCTACCACAGTTGTTGCATCCAAATCTAACAAGAAACGCAAACATCCACGTCGAGTAATCATGGACACTTGGACGATCGACAATACTCGAGCGAATAAAAACAGACAAACTGATCGTCTTTCGTGCCATATGTAGATTTTAAGACCTTGATAATTAAGATTTTGATTAGTACTACAAAACTATATGAGATAAAATAACACTATATTAAATCGGAACAGAATATATTCATTAGTTTGAGTTTAATCAGAGTGTTCGCTGCACACGTCAATACTAGGAAATTGTATCACGTTTAATGCATAGCCGTGTGATTACTTATGCACCGCAGCCATGGTCATTAATAATTATTGTGAATGAATTAAAGATTAAAAGTTAAATTGAATTCAAAATTGTTATTTATTTCTACTGCGCTTTTAGAGTGCTTTTAAACAGCTAAAACGAGTTATGTAGATTCTTTGAAATATCTAAGCCTACATATTATATATATATTAGTTATTGTATGTCTCAAAAGTCTGATACTTACTACCCAAGAATTTTTTTTTGCTTGCTTGTTGTTTGAACCGACGATGCCGTGAGCACAACTTTTGTATTCTTTCACGACAAAAAATAATTTTGTTACATACCACAAAAAAATCTATTATTATAGTAATGCAGGCTAAAAACCCTTGTCGGTGAAGCGTTAATAAACTTTAAAAAAAAACCATAATAACTGAAAAATTAGTGTTTGAAAAAAACTATATTTAAAAATGCTCGGAGTGACGTAGCCTCCACAGATACGTCACTAATACCATGAAACTTTAAAATTATTATTTCAATACTGTAATTTAACAAGAATCAAATCTTATAATAATAATATGTCCATGCTTTTTTAATATTAAACTGAATAATTTGGGGTATGCACAGTTTATTGATTTCCTTAGAACCATTGATTTTATAATAATATGTATATTATTTATATATATTTATATTTATTATTATTTTTTTTTTTTATTTATATTTATTTATATTTTATTATGGCAGGTATTATATCTTATAATAAAACAAATATTAGAACTGTGAATAATTAAAATCAAATAATATTGTGATAGTGCACGCTCTAACGTTTACATTTTGCAAAACGTCTGTATAATGTGTTGTTCCCAATACCTACCGGTAGATAGCTTTGTTAGTTTGTTACCACAGTTTTTATATTGTAAAATATTATGGTGACTAATCTTTGCGGTGTGCGGCTGTTAATGGTATATCATAATTTATTTTTTACAATTTAATTATGACCACCCGTGGTTATATTGGTTACATAATACTGATCGCATCCAACATACCTATATAGTAATTATTATAAATAAACATAAAACCATACAGCCAGGTTTCCCGCCATTGTGTTTATTCTAGTTTAAAAAAAATGTGCATCTGCAGTATGCCTGATTAATAAGTTAACAATTTTAATGCTACTTTCCAATGAGTTGACATTATAATATTTGCAGAGATTTCTAAATCGGAAATTATTTGATTTACTATAATGTTAGTAACTGTTAAATACCTACCCTGACAATAATTTAGTAATTATTGTTGAAACGAAATACTTTTAGTTTTTAAGTGGAGCGATAAATATATTGATTATACAATGATGTGTGTTTATTGTTCTTGTGTCTGAAGACACTTTTTCTATTTTTTCTGATTATCAACTTTGATTTAAGTTTTTGATACTAAATTGGATCTAGTTTGTACTTTTAGGACGTAAAAATTCTCTGTACCTGGTTAAGCGCTTGAATATGCCTAGTGGTTCACAGAAAACTATACTCGATTGTTGTTTTCCCGAAAGCCTTGATGAAAACAATATTTAACTTGAATCTGATATTATATCTCGGATCTTGGTTAAGTTATAACTTTGACCTTGGACCGTACATAGCTGAATATGAGGTTTAATAATGAGTTTGATACAGTTTGAACAATATTTTTCTAAAATAAATTAATTTTGTCCATATTTTATCGTTACAATCTTTTAACGACAACGTGCAATTTTTATTCCTTATTTCAAAGCAGAATATTTTTATTTAGTACTTCAATAATCAAATTTTGGGAGAGTAGGTCATGAGTTATAAGTATTTAAGGTTTAGATAAGTGGACTGGGTTCTTACAAAGCAGAGTAGGAACCCCACAAAATGTGGATCCACTACACCCATAATCATAACTTTAAATACCTGCTTGTAGGTTATAGGTTACAACTAATAAAGTAATTATCTACTTGCCCGAAATTTGATTTCTACAGATCGAACTACTTCGAATATTACTATGATTTGAAAAAGGAAATTAAAAATGTAAGTTGTCATTCAGATCAGTAAAATCTTAAAAAGTATTTTTTTTTAAACTTCAGAAATAGGTGCCTCATGGTAAATAGATCACACCTGTATTATCTAATTTAATATCAAGAGTGAGTTTTTCTAAAAAAATATTAGGTACATATTTAAGTTCAGTGTTTCTAATGACTCCATAATACGGTTTCGAAAACTGCAGTTCTGCCTTGCATACTTTTAACAATTATAATGTTGATTGCGTGTAACCATCACAGTGCACCGCAATGCTATTCGTCACCTTTTTTTATATAAGTCAAAAACCGCTCAAGTATAATATATAGGTATGAAACACGAATGATAATTTACATATAAATTCTAAGCTTTGACCGTTTTCGGTATTAAGTTATATACAAATTCGTGCTCTACAAATTTACCTTTCAAATTATATTTTTTTGTTCTTATAATATTGTATGATTTTTGTGTTCCAATAATGGTCTTAATTTCAACATAATACAATAATTACGTATTGTAAAACTTATATTCCTGCAAGGTCAATATCATAATAGTTACATGCACCTAATTTTAATACTTATCTCGTATCTTTAGCGATAATAGTATAATGTAAGTTATAAAATCATAAGGTATTAAAATGTTATGTACCTATACCTACCAAGTCAAGAACCTTTTTTTTCTGTTTATTGTAAATTAGGTATACAAAAACGACAATTAATTCGATGATTGCATGGTCTTACCAACTCCGGATACGTAAATGGGTTTTGTAAACAGTTCATTGCACTTCTGTGTGGTATGGTATATTGTAATATTTTACACCTAAACTTCACCTAACAAAACAAAAATTTAACTATTTGCTGTGTGGCGTGTATAATTTTCTTACCTATAAATATAATGCAGTTATATTATATAATATACATAATACATGACATCATATTATTAAATTCTTACCTATATATTATTATGATTATAATATTTGTATGTATATATACATATATAATATATATAAATCAAAAATATAGACTTCAATCATAGATCGTCCCTGCTCAGAGTCAATTTGTTTGTAAATAATGATTTGTCATTGAATTCTAAGTAACATGATTAACACAATCTTCCATTATTGTGACAATTGCGAATTAAATCATGACCGGTAATTGACGGGTTCATTTGAAGATGAGTAGAACTATCATTACATTTTTTATTCGACAACATTTTCAAATTTTACAGTCTGCTTTATACCTGGAAGGTTCTCATTTGAATAACCAATGTTGGTATCCTCACGTGGTATTTCTTAAGAGGACGCAACACCCACATGGATTGTATCCGTCTTACAAAGCATAAAAAAACTGTTTCACGCGGGAAAGAACCAAGAAGGCTACTACAGTAATAACTAAGAAATCAAATTTTCACTATGAATACAGGAGGTGGTCAACACTTCAACAGTGCTGTAAAGTTTTTATTTTTTCGTCAAGACCGATATATCAAAAATTATTTAAGTTTGGAAACGTACAAATATCAGATTTTTAAAAATATTTCAACTTTTTCTTAATAACGATATCAAACAAATACAAAAAGCTACAGCACAGAAAACATTGTCTTCTATAATGTGTACATTTTTGGTGTATCTGCTAGGAGTTGGATTTTTGGTATGTTGTACATTTGTAAGAGTGTAAGACAGAACCAACACATGCGGGTGTAGCGTTCTCTTAAATATTATATTGGAATTGTATTCAAAAATATCGTATTTCACTATACATTTAAAAATTCCAAAAATCAGAATTTGATTATAATATTCATAATTTAAACATAAATGCAGGGCAAGCATCATGCTTAAATGATTTAAATAATTTTGTATTTTTGAAGTGAATAACTTTTTTAGCCAAGGTAGCGTAAGTTGGATTCATGGGCGAAGCCATTGCGATCGCGTCACGAGAGTGGCTTACTCGAAACTAGGGATCCATCAGATGATCAGATTTTTCCACGGGCGCCCACAGGCATTTCAAAGAACAAAAATAAAATTGAGCTAGAAACTAGAGATTGTAGTCTATAATCATCAGATACTTTAACCCGAAAATCTATTCATAATTAGTTTATTAGGTACCTACCAAATGATTAATATAGATGCCTCCTTGAAGTTAAAAATGTTGTAAAAAAATTAAACTTTAAATAAATTAATGAATAAAATATGATCAGAGGTCTATCCACTGTATTAAAAAAAAATGTAGAACATTGATGAAACTTATGATGGATACAAAATATTAAATTGAAAGAGGTCCACGTGCTCATATATGTTAAATTATTTTTTGAGGGAAATAAAATAATGTTTAATTCAAAAGTATATTGTGTTTTAAGCTGCGACTATAAAGTCAATTTTAAATTACTAACAAAAAAATAAACAAATAAAAACATAACTATACTTTTGTTTTGGTCTTAGATATTATGTAGGAAAAAAATAGATTAAGTGCAATGTAGATGTAGAAAGGAGTGAGAAGGAAACCTATTAGGAATTAGACTATATAGTTTTATACACAAATTGATATTTTAAACTAAAACTATAACGAATAAGTAAATACTGAAACCTTACAATAACTCTTCATTCCGTCAACTCTAATTTATTTTTTTATTAATATTTGGTATATTTTATAATCATTTTTTTTAATTTGTTTTGGTAAAGAAATTACTAATAGGGGTTGACTGCGTTTTTATGTTTTAATAATTATAAGTAGGTACTGTTACAACGCTAGCCAGCCGACCTTAAAACCGTGGTTAACAATTAAGATAGCTAGTTAGGTTTTAATTTCCCTAGGTAATACTTAAATATTTTCTTTCATAGTTATATTTATACAATATCGAATACCTTAGTAGTTAGTAGGAAAAGATCATTGCAAAGCACACGATCAGGGATGATAGTGTATTATGAGTACTATCATTAGTCTACTTTGTTATAATAGTATATCAAAATATTCATATCACTATGACTATATTTTATACAAATTAATTTTTTTTTATAGTACCATA